CGGCGAGGGGCTGCCTGAGGCCCCAGCCTGCAGTGCCCACTCTGTGCCGCGACGCTCACTGGAAGCCAGCTCTTCCCCATACCTTGGACTGTGGGAGTGGTGCCACGGCCACACAGGGAAGACCTGGGGAATCCCCCTGCCACCTTACCCTGGGCTGTCTCCCACTTCCAGCTCCCTGCGCTGCTGAGCTGCAGCACACCAGCGCTGCGGCTTCATCACCTACTTTGTTCTTTTTTTTTCCTCTTAATTTCTTTTTTTGGGGGTGGAGGGGGGAGGAAGGGGGTGGGAGGACCAACCTGTCAACGTGGATGTTGGGTAATAAAACCTTGCACAAACCTCTGCATCGAGCTGCCTGCACCTCCCTCCCCTGGGGCTGTGCAGGGACTGGGGACAGTGGAGCAGCCCAGGGAAGGGCTCTGGGGACGAGAAGCCAATCTGAGCCCTGCAGTGGCACCCACTTCTTCTCTGGCACCAGCCTGGCCCAAAACCAGCACCTTGTGCCGGGAGAGAAGACTCCAAGCTGGCTGAGCCCCCCAGGCAGATGGGCTGATGACCACAGGACACCGTGACCCCGTGGGACAGGTTTATTGCCAGCCTCTGGACGCGACATCACCAAAGCAGCTGCCTGAGTCCTGCTCCGGCCCTGCTGCGCCTCACGTGCCTGGTCACAAATCCGTGGTGGTGAAGGTGCTGTTGAGGTACGCTGTTTTGGTGGGCTGCTTCAGGTCCAGGGCGGCTGCCAGCACCTCCTTGTCAGTGGGGTCCATCAGCTGTGCTTTGCCCTGCTGCAGGAGGAGAGCATGGTCTGAGGGGATGGGGACAGACATGGGGGACAGGGACACTCTCGTCCTTCTCAGGAGCTGTGGGCTGTCAAGGGGGTGGAGAGGAAGGGATATGAGGGGCCCAGGAGCCTGGGGACCATAGCAGAGAGGAGAGGACGCAGCGTGTGGTGGCAGGACTGCCTGCAGGGCACCAGCAGCTCTTTGCACTCACCTTGGCCTTGAGGCTGTCGTCCCCAGGTGCATCTACTGTATTTTCATCCAGGGAATTCATGCTGTGGAGAGTGGAAGGTGGGGGTAGAAGAGGGCCCAGGCACTGGTGGAGCAGGGCCGCAGGGTGACGGCCCCGTGCCCTTCAGGACCTGCCTGCGGAGCTCACCTGACCACAGAGA